CGTTGCTTACCAAGTGCCTCTTTCTGTTATAGACCCCCGCAGAAAATGCAGTTATCCCCGAAGGTGAATCTACCACCACAACTCCAATTCCTCCCACTCCTGTCGTCTCCAGTCCTTCCGCCGTTCCCGTTCCCACGGATGCTTCCCCTGCAGTGAGTACTGCATCGTTGAATCGACCAGAACACACCCGCTCTCCCTCTCCCCTGAGCGGTGACGATTATCCTGGCAGTAGACGGTAATTGATGCAAATTCGTTTAGGTGTTTACGTCGATATTCTTTTTTGATATCTTGATGTACAGTTTGATGGTTCTGTCAATAAGATCAACCAAGTTGAATTATTTTCGTAGTAGACCTACGTAAGCTTATCGCAAACGGAGCTGCGCGCACCCGGGTGCATCTTTAAACCGCTGTTTGGTGAAAGGTTACTTTGTTGATTTGCCCTAAATAGGTGATCAGAGTCTTCTTGAATGAGCTGTCGTGATGCCTGAGGACATAGTGAGTTTTTTCCGGGTCAGCAACCTCTGAACCATATCCCTTCATGTCCACGAACACTATCTTTACGTGTGGCTATACATGATCCGCAGTGAAGTGGGGTCATCACCGTAAGTTGTGTTGATCTAAACGGGATACTAGTCCGCACAAGGACAACAGGGAATTTCTGAAGGAAAAGGTCGAGTGGAACGATGGATGCCACTGTGTACCTCACTCCCAACATTCTTCAAAAGTCGATTAATCTCGATGATGAAGGAGATGGTCCTTGAAAAGAAACTAGCAATACGGCGTGAATAGGGATGCCACCGATAGAATAAAACTACCAAAGAGAGAGTCAAATCCTTCACCACTTCTGTTTTGTTCCATGAGTCATCTGCGATTAGAGATGACGGTATATTTTTCCTCATGGAGATTCTGAAGTCCGCGACTCATTGGAGGCCAGTAACTTCTCGTACCAAGCTCTCACTGTTGTGGTACCCAGTAAACCACTGCTCAATCTATCCGGTGACTCTGAATTTAGTATTCCTGGGGGTGGTTCATTTGCCTAACCACGAGGGGTTTAAAATCAAGGTTTGTAGACTGGCTTAGACGCACTTCCTACCTTCGTCCTTACAAACCTGGGGATTTTTTAAATGAAATTCCTGTGATAAGCGGTTTCACAAGCCCGGTGACTGATCGTAAGCATCGCAACGGTCGTATTGTCGGGCGTTTGTGGCCTTCAAGCGTGCTTCGTGACTGCTAACAAAAGTCACATGACAGTTCTGTAAAAAAAGATCGACAAGAGTGTTATTATGATTACATACAGGCTCTCGCGAATCAAGCGACTAATGAGAAACCATGGTGCCCCTGTCATTTTACTATCCCAATGGCCAAGGGACCTAAATACTCACGCACGCAGTTCCTGACAGATTCACTGCCCGGTGGGTTCCATTGTTGTTAACTGCAAGCCGCGGGTGGAACTCCTCTAGAAAAATCCGCTTTTCTGTTTAGAGTACCTAGAAAGCATTCTGTTCTTAAACTTTTCGCGAAGCTTACATAACTCCAAAATCCGCTACTTGAGCAATTTGTGAATAGACTCTACAGGGTAATAATAGTTTTACTTCGTTTCAACGTTGTTAACCTAACTGACTGGCCTAAATAGATTTTCAGAAAATTCTTGGTTCCAATTTCTTTCCTTTCATATCCGGAGTACCTAATGCTTCTATCCCTGGGTTCACGACCTGGCCAGAAGCTTTGCTTATTACATTTTATCCCTCTGGATGAATTGATGATCGTCACATAATGGTCTGCCATTCTGCCACCTTAGAGTATCTTTCGTCATGGCCCCGACGAAATCTGGCGAGACGGAAACTCAGCGTAGCGTCAAAGCCCGCTATGTCCGATCGACTCGCCGCTCCACTCAGGGTGTTTCAGCCGAGGAAGTGGAGAAAGCCAAACGTTTGATTGATCATAACAACAGTGCAGCTCCGGCCAGCACCACAACTTCACAGTCAGTCAGTCAGCTATCAGCACCAGCTTCTCAGTCGCTACCGTCTGGCGAGGCGATCTCTGATACTTCGTTACGGCCGAGATTGGATCGGCCCACTGTGCATATCACCCGATCGGTACCGCCCGCGCGAAACGCGGCAGCCCAGTCGCCAGCTGAATCGGATGCGGATTCAAGACGACGACGACGACCGAATGCCGATGAGACCTCGTCCGGTTACGCAACGGACGACGCTTCTCGGGTAAGCTTCATTCACTCTTGAACTTGGACCAATATGTCCTTTGGCCTACCTTGTTGACCCATTCTCTATTAATGATTTTAAACATTATCGTATTAACCGAATTTTAGCTTTGATTGTGCATGAACTCCATGGACTATCGTGTGGTGTAGACCATTTTCTTTTGTTTTTTGTGCTGGTTCCCAATGATATTCGCTCGCATCTTTCATATGCATAATGATACTACATACCATATATGCATTTCCGAGGTTCGAGTCCCGCCGCCACCACCCAACTTTGGTGGTAGGCAGCATTACTGTCGTCCGGTTCAATATCACACCGAACCTATCGGGGCCTTATGTGGTTCACCACTCCAAGTCCCGGGGCTTAGATTACCGGTTTCCATCACTGAACAGCAAGTCCTCGTGACTATGGGGTTTCTCTACTGTTCATCACACAAAAGTGTAATAAAAAAGGCATTGTGTTGTAAAGAGTTTTGCCCGTGATTTGTTCGGCACAGTCTGGACTGAGATACGTGAGATTTATGGATCCCCCAGACCCTGCAGGCTTTTTTGCTATTTCCTTGTCAATACTTGCCAACCCAAATTACCACTGATTTTTTTGTCAACTTCCGCTCTACTAGACTTAAGAAAACTTTCTAACCGATTTGTAACTTGTGGCTCATTCTGCATATAAAACTCGGCTGTATGCAACAGAAATAAACTGAACGAATACCTATAGCATATCAGCAATTCGCATTTAAGACACCCTCAATTTACTAACTAGTGAGTCACTGAAATCATTCGGTGCGATGGACACGGTAGCAACTTTTTGAAGATCGACGTTAATGTCAGAACATTCATTTTTCATTTATTACAGCCATTATCCGTGCTTTTCCATGCGCCAGTTTTGGTTGCTGTCCGCTGCCTGTCCCTCTGGATGCAGGAGTAGATGGAAGACTGGGATGTTCAAATCGGTTTCAGAATGAAACTAGAGGGTTCTTGAAGACTAAGTTTGCAGGGATAATGAATAGATGCATGAGTACCTCTGTTTACAATACTTAGCCATATCACTGAGTATCTGTAATCATTGATTACGATGATCCCGATTTCCCCATCCAGGAAACCTAACGCGACCGACATGAACGGGTTTTCTGTTCAGGGTTTTCAAACCTTCATACGAGGTCTTAGTTTGACCTCCGTTTATTTTTTCCGCCCATGAAAACAATGTGAGTGGTTGACTAGACAGTGGGAATATTTTGGAAGCTGATTGTTTCCACAGGTGAATTTAGCTTGGGAATGAAGGAGAATAATCTAGGTATCTTGAGCTTTTCTAAGGTTTCTACTTTCTGAGGATGCAGCATTTGGTGGGACTGAAGGTGATAAGCTAAGTTGAATTTCGCACGGAATCAAACTCGCATGCAGTCCTTGAAAAATTTTGGTTCGCTATCACACCAGCTGACTAAACTTCTACTGTCCTCCCACTCAGAGAACAGCCTGGTCAGTTGTTGGTACATCTGTGCTTTTTCACGTCCGATGACCTGTAAAGCAGATAGATTAATGAAGATTGTTCAAACTGTTGCAAACATACCGGTTGTCACGTGTGCATTTTCTCTATGAATTACCAACACCTTGTATGAGATCTGAGCAGGCTATTGGGAAAAAATCAACCAAATTCCACTGAGTTCTCTGTTTGTCATCAGGACGTGTAATAATTATTCTAGCCTACAATCATGCCGTTCGTCAATCGGCTTTTTCCACTGAATTCGTTGGCTCTTCAACTGACCCCAATAGCTGATAAAGGTGGCACACTCATGTGCACAACGAGCGTGTGTAAATGTTTGCACCAAATCTTTTTCATCTATCATTCACAACCAATTTTGTCAATCCGTACGTTGTTGATAATTCTGCTTGTTTTTTTTTCTCATAGAGCTATCGTGGATATCGTCAGTCGGGAGCTGATGACCGCGTAAACTCCACCTCCGAAGCTAACCCTTCCTCAGACAGTACCTATTTCCCGTTCCGTGGTCTTTCCACACGGCTTCCTAGCATGGAAGAAGGTGTGTTACCGATTATTATTATTATTGTTTTCATTGCATCTGTACGCAATAACCAACCCACTGGTCTTAGATTCATTTTTCTCATGACATTCCAATCGAATCTGTTTCGTTCAGAGCGATCTGATTCTCGGAACACAAGCAGCACAGACTCCCAATCCAAAGCACCTCNTCCGCGATCGACTTTTGGAAGCCACCGAGAATCTGGAACGAGAACACTCTCTGAGTAAACGACGAGCCCAACGTCAGAGTGCCCCTAGTCCAACCACCCCACCATGTACCTCACCAAACTCCCTCAGTACCAATGCGAATTCGTCCGGGACCGGCAACAGCGATGCAACAGCGAAACCAGTGGTATCACGAGTACGTCCCTCAAGTCCATCCACATCTATTGCGTTTAAGTGTGTGCTGTTTTGATATTCATCCACGAGTTCTAGATAACCCTCTGTTCAAATCAGATTGATTTACATGCTTGGCGGTCAGTTCCAAAATTACGTATATCGTTACGTTGTAAACACGAGGGAACCTGAAAATGAAGATCGTGGGGAACATTCTCATCTAGCAGGAAGTAAGAACAGAGGGAAAGGTTATTCGAAGCACTTGGGGGAGTGAGAAATTTATGTGGGCTTTACCGAGGCGTTTCACTTATGCTGCCTGTTCGTTAGGTGCACTGCCGTGACAAGCCACGATTATCACCATATTCTGAGTTATGGTAGTGGCTACTGGCAAATAATCAGTAGCGCAGTGCGAAATCAAATTGTTTCTAGCATATTGTTGCACGATATCGGTGTTTTTTGTATTCCTGGTCACCTTAACTTGCTAGGTTCCGAAAAATTCCCACCAACCTGTTTGCATAGTATTTTATTTTGGGCCTTTTTTGTACACAGCCTTCCAGCCGCTTTCTTCACTCCAACGATTCCTCCTCCACCACCGGCGTTTCATCGATCGTGAACGCAACTGGCGGTACTACCACCACCACCACCACCACCACAACAACAAGCCATGGGTCCTATGGTAGTAACACTACCAGCTATTCCTGGAGTGGTTCTTACTGTGGTAATCGATCCAGTAATGCCATAAATGCAACAACAACGACAAACTCAACCCCATCCCAACCACAGTACGGCAATTCCTCCGCTGCCACAACGGATTCACGTTCCGGATACCGGTCCGATCGTTACCAAGATGTGAGTTCACTACCAAAAATCAAGTGTGATGAAGAAGAGAATACGTTTATCTCAGCAGAACTACTTTTAAGCTCATAGCAGAAAGCAGTTTCGTTGTCGTCTGACTCATTTAGGGACTTATTTGATGATATACTTCGTGTCCCAGTGTTGGTTTTCATTAGCGAACAGCAAATGTGAAGTTTCGATGTTAATCAACACAACGGTTTTTGATAAGAATTGTAACCGAAAGGAGTTAGAGTAGCATTCCACTTCGTTGATCAGAATGTGTTTATGGTGTTGCCATTTGCGGTAATTTCATATCCTTGAATCTGCACATCCGGTGCATTTTTTAATCTTCCAATGCAAAGACGCCTGACCCCCTTCCGCAAACTTTTTGTGCTTATTTAAATGCCCTTATTCCCTTTTCACGACTATCTCCTTCGTACTAGATGAGCATCCTGTTCTTTGAACATTTTGGATATCAGATTTCGATGCTCGGTCTTTGGTGGCGAAGTCGATGTAGACGGTGATTCAGATGCCATAGCCGGTTTCTGTCGATTGAGTGTACTCCTGCATTAGATCTCATCCTTCTTGCTCGTAATTCAGGCTGTCCCGCAGATACGTACTGAGGCATTCCTTGCACCTTTCGGGGCGTTTAATTCGATGATATAGTGTTTGCATAACCATGCGCGAACTGTACGCCAGTTCCGCTGAAGCGCTCTTTTGTGTCTGAACTATCATTTGAGTTGTAAACCGCAGTATAGCTGTTGTCTTTCGGAAAGTTCCCACGTGAGTTACCTGTCAGGGCCGAAAACTTTGGGGATGTCCGAGGGGACACAACAGTCCGATTAAAAATCCTGTATCTCTTTAACACCGTATAAAACACTCCACGCGGATACGGAATTACTCCACTCATCAGTTGCTAAGGTGTCACTTTGACCGTGTAGAAGTGCATTCGTATGTGACACTTGTTGACTCCGAAACTATGATCCTACTATTTGCACCCATTGCTTCCAGCAGTAAGCATTTGGAAAGTTTACCATGAAATGTGTTCATTTCCGGGGACTTTCCTCAGAAGTGCCATGTTAGCTTTCATCATGCGGTATAATGGTAAAAATCAGAGCGTAATCTGTATTGCTCACGGTGGTAAAATTGACCAAACAGGGAAAGTAATTGATGCTGTGACCATTGGGAGATGTAATGATGCGTTTTGCACGTACAATCAAATGCTAACTCAGCGGGTGTAGTTTTCTTGTCTGTTTGTAAACCCGCCAAACTATTTTTCATCCACTCAACGTTCCGTGTCTGTATTGTTTCTTTTTTTGTCGTTCTTGTCCCCAGTCACCAAATCTCGTTCTCTGTCGTACGTATTTCTATTGTAGATTTTTCACATCCTTGCATTCCTCAACCTGATAAATAAATTTTATAACTACCGTAGTTCCATTCACTGCATATAGTTGCGGAGTTCGATCGTTGATATTTGACCATTCTTTGGTTAATCATGTATTGACATTCTTGGCATATCATTGATTATAACAGCCAAGTTGAGAACAGACTGCCAGTCAAATAGTAAACTTCTGACATCACTTTTGATTTACTCGTACCTATCGGCAAATCGCATGTGGTTCTTACTTTCTTTTGCTCCACAGAATTCCGACTACCGCCGTCTGTACGAGCAGGAAAAATCTGTCCGGGAACGTCTCCAGCGACAATTGGATGACACGTTACGAGAACTGTCTCGTGTTCGCATCCAGCTGGCCAATCTTACACAAGTGGACACAAATAACACGACAACCAGCAACAACACATCACACGCTACAACAGAGGTAAGGTTTACTAACTACTTAATTTTGCTCTTCCCGTCTCATTTCTGTTCTCCCTCTCTCCCGTTTACTGTTTGAACTCGTTTCCTCGTGACCAGATAGTTTATGTCACGATAGTTGTGGAACATAAACAGTAGTCCTGTACTGTACATCTCATTGCTACCCGTTCGGCCATCTTTGTATTCCGGTATCAAAACTACTCCTCCCCCCCACACACACACCGGAAGGGATAATCATACTTACCGACTCACAATTGTTCCCTCAGAGTGGATATTGACGTCCGCTTGACAGATGCCGGGTAAATTACGTTAGATATAGTTGTTTTCTGATCAGATTATATAAATAGGTCTCCATTTACGAATAGTGTTCTGATTCTCTCTGATATCTGCTTGATAAATTTTTCAGTCATTTCTCACTACCTCCATTCGCTCGCTCAGATCGATCTCTAGTGATGAATACACTTTTTGCAATCACGTTTTTGCATCATCTTCCATGTATTCCACTACTGTCCGACTCTGCTATCGGTTTAACTGAGTCCATGTTGAACTAGAATGCTGGCAATCTTTATCCGTGCCTCAAAAAGAAACACAGGCTTTGCGGTGCAAAGCTTGTCTCACTTGTATCCTAAGCAATGTGCATGATGTTCGTTGTCGCTTGGTTTTCCCATATACGTATACGCGTGTCTGCCTGTCCGTATTCGTTCTGCATGCTCTCGTGCATGACTTGACTTGTTTTCACTCATATGTTTAACTGGTATATTCATCGATAAAAATGTGTTTTCTATTTTTTCCTTTTCAACTGACCTCTATAACTCCCTTCTACCGTACAGCGTTTTCGATGGTTTTAATCCGGATCCTTGAAACCTCCGATTACTCTTGGTCACCTGACCGCAAATTACCAACTAACTACTGCCAACAAATCCAACCACACGTATCACTTATTTCGCACACTTTCCATAAAACCGCTTCACCTTGGCGACCAGTTCCGGATTGTTCTCCTTTGATTCTGAGTTATCTCACTCCTTTCATTTCATCTCCGATTGAAGGAGTCAACTAAACGTATAGACAGACCGTTGCCATTAAACCGAGTTTGAGCATCTCCCCTGACCTGGACTATAGTTTATGCATCACATCCGGTGAATTGCCTGAGACTCACCACAAAATTCAACAGCGTCTCTGATGCTTGTTCACCTTTGTCTAATTGCCATGAAAAGCCGCAACTAACTTACCCTGAAAAATCCACCTTTCTAGACAGTACGCTCGGTAGAACTAATTGTTCTCCCTGTCACTGTATGTATGTCTGGCTCCGACTTGTTCTTAAGACGTCCTTGAACATGGTGATGTGTAGAACTTCTCACTCATATAGTTCAGTCCTGCATTTCAGCACGGGCTTTTTTCACTTAGTTATAACTTTTTTATATTAGTCAACTTTGAACACCAACAGAACTGCTGGTCTGTCTCATATATTAGTCGTCGTTCGATAAATTTTACTTTCTGACTCTCCGATTTGATTAAGTGCACGATAACTTGGTGATCGCTTGGTCAAAGCCTAATCTCTATAGCCAGTCTTGCTGTGATTGGCCTTGACGGACGCGATTGTATTGAACTGACTGTGAACCGAAACAGTCTTATCTGTACCGCATGTCGAAATATTCATTTGCGCACCTCACAAACCCATATCACTTCAGTCCCTTTTGACCGCGTTTATCTCTACTGTGGATATCTTCCCCGTTACGGGGTGTTGTTGTTGCGTTGTGTCGGGCTAATGTTCTTCCATTTATTGTCTCTTAGTGTGATCCTTCCTCGCGTCTTTGATTGCTTTTCCCCACCCCGTTCGCCTGACTGATCACGTTCGTCAGAATTTACCGCAATTTCCGAGGGTCATGCAAGTCCGTCATTTCCGGATTAAAGGAGACACATTGAAAAGTAATCATCTTCTCTGGCCTATGGTCAGTTTCTGTTAGCCCGGTGTGCCTCCTTGGGTGCTACTAGTGACTGCCCTCTCGGTGACACTAGACGATACTAGTGCTACTAATAATAATAATGAG